CCCGGAGTTTTCCACTCTATCGTTTCATTATTACTATGATTTCTTTCGCCTCGTTCGTTCTCCGCTACTTAATTACCTTTTAATTAAAAAAATCTTAACAGTAACGATTCTTATCAGTGATGATAATAATAATAATATTATTATTATTATCAGTGATATAATAATAATATTATTTATCATCATCGATAAATTTTCAGGATTTTAAGCGCGAATCGTTGAATTTTTTTTTCTTTTTTTTGTTAAATTTCTTTCTCGTAGACTTTTTTTTGTTTTTGTTCTAATGTCACGTGACTATGATGAAAAAAAGAAAAGTTTTATTATTATTATTATTATTATTAGTTTACGTCATCGCGTGTTATTTGAAACTTATTGTTTTTTTTCTCTCTCTCACTCTCTCTCTTTCTCTTTTTCTTGTAAAGGTTTAAATTTTATTTGTCACACGAGCTTTTTTTCTTTTCTTTTTTCTTTTCCCCTCCCCCCTTTTCTTTGTGTTGAAGAATTTTTTTGAAATGTTTTTGAAAGAAAAAAAAAAAGTGTCATTAGAAAATCAAAATTTTTAAAAGATGGAAAAAATTTGAAAGGATGGAAAATTTTTTTAAGAGTTTTTTTTTTTTTTGCGCACGATTGAGTTTGATTCATGGAAAAAAAATAAGAAAAAAATTATTTGATGACGTGTAATTAGAATCTTCATATTTTCGAATTTTTTTTTTTTATTCTGTTATATCCACGTCGGAAAAAAATTTTTTTGTTTTCTTTCGAAAGTAAATAATCGTAGTTGGTTGTTGGATGATGTTGATGATGATGATGATGAAGTATTAGTTGCATGTTTGATCTCTTTTTTTTGGGGAGAACGGTGGGAAGGGGAGGGGAAGTAAGGTAAGGTTTAGGATTACCTCGTAAAAAAAAAAACATTCTAGACTCGTAGAATCGATTTATTTAATCGAAATCAAAATCGAGTTTTCGAATTTTCTGGATCTGATTGTAATAATTTGTTTTTATTTTTTCTTCTTCATCTTTCTTCTTTCCCCCCTCTTTTTTCTTCTTTCCTCTTTTCTTTTAGAATTTTATCCGTTTTTGAGTAATTTTTCAGACACTTTTTTGGTTCGTTTACGAATGTAAAAAAATTTTCTCCAAAATGATGGGGAGAAGGAATCACCAGAGGAATTTTCGTCAATTTTGTTATTATTATTATTATTATTATTATTATTATTATTATTATTATTATTATTATTATTACTATTTTCCATCTTTGTTTTTTCTATACTCTTCTTCGTCTATCTCGTCTATACTCTTCTTCTTCTATTTCTGTCTTTTCTTTCCCATTGTTAATATTATTATTAATTTTTTGTTTTTTAACGTCGTTTTTTGTAGAGTAGGTTACGATGACGTCATAAGAGTAATTTTCTTCTTTTTTTTTTTTTTTTTTTTTGGTGTTTTTGACGGTGGTCCTCACGCTGGTGGTGCTGGTGCTGCTGCTATAAAAATATACCTACCAGGAATCTAATCGCGATGAGGATTCATCCTCACCATTTTGTGGATTACGTGATCGATTTTTTTTTTTAACGGGATGAAATTTAAAGGAACGAGGTCACGGGAACTTTCTGAACATTCTAAAGAAAAAACAAAAAAAATACGATTACGGGTCGAAACTTGTTGTAAAGTTTAAAACAACGATAAGAAGCCAACGTCGTCGTAGCGATAGAAAGCGGTAGAAAATGAGTTAGTGTGGTCAGGGGGGGGGGTAAAAGGGGTCGTAGTAACTTAAAGTGGACAAAAACAACAAACAAACAAACAAAGAAGAAGAAATAAAGATAAAAATAAAAATAGGAAACGGGTTGAATTTGTAAACTGGAAATAAATGATGGTAAAAAAGTGGGGGGGTGGTAGGTAGTAGGAAGGGAGAGGATGTGCGTGTGCGTGCATGCGTTCTTCTGTCGTGGAAAAAATGAAATTTGCAACAAAAAAAAAAAAAAGAAAATTTAATGTTTATATTCACACATTAGTAATAGTAGTGATAGTTGTGATGAAAATTTTTTTTTTAAATTTTCAGGTACGTTAAGTCGTTTTTCCTAATTTTCCCGCGCCCACCCCCTCATCGATCACCTTTCCCGCTCGATCCTCCCTTTAAAAAAAAAAAAACACCAAACACGAATGAAAAAATTTAATAAATATTATCGACGTAATCGGCTTAACTATAATAAATAATAATAGTAATAATGATGATACAATGAATCAAAATCTAACGATAATAATAATGATGATAATCTCCATATTTACTTTTCACTTATTAGCATTTTTTAATTTTTCCAGCTCGAAAACAAGAAATAATTAAAATGACGGAACAACTCATTGAAGCAATCAACACAGGAGATTTCGAAGGATACACGTGAGCATTATTATTATTATTATTATTTATTTTCCCGGAAAATCCGGAAAAGATTAAACAATGATAATAATCGTTTTGTTTTGTTTCCAAAAAAAAAAAAAAATCCAGGAAAATATGCGATCCTCATCTTACGTCGTTCGAACCTGAGGCATTGGGAAATCTAGTCGAAGGAATGGATTTTCACAAATTTTATTTTGATAACGGTGAGTTAATAAACGTTTTTTACTCGTAAGTTAAACATCGGTGTCGCGTGTCTTTTTACAAAGGAAAAAAAATGAAAAAAAATGAAAAAAAATTTTTTTTTTTCTTTTTTTTTCTTTTTTTCTCTTTCATTCGGGAATTTTCGTTGGGGGGGGGGGAAGTGTGGGGGGTTATCACGTGATGAGATTTCGTTTTTGATTGTTTTTTTTTTGTATTATAATTTTCAGTTCTCGGAAAAAATTGTAAAGCTGTGAATACAACAATATTAAATCCGCACGTTCATTTGTTGGGTGAAGATGCCGCAGTGATTGCTTACATTAGACTGACACAGTACATGGATAAGTAAGTAATATTGTGACGATGATGATGATGATGATGGTTTAATGGTTTTTTGTTTTATTTCTTGCAGACAAGGCCAAGCGCACACAAAACAATCGGAAGAAACGAGAGTGTGGCATAAAAGGGATAACAAATGGCAAAACGTTCATTTTCACAGATCGGGAACGGGAGATTCTCCCTTTGGATTCACACACAAATAAACGCGAATCGAACGAAGACTACGATGATGATGACTAGTCGTTTATATATTTACATTGTAATTAATTAATTATTTATTATTATTATTATTATTATTATCATCGTCGTCGTCGTCGTCGTCGTCGTTTTCTTCTTATTCTTTTTCTACGTCCTTATATACTTCGTGTTCTTAGAGATTCATTTGCGATTTTTTTTCTATTCTCTTCTTTTTTCTTATTCATCGTCAGTCACTCTTTTGTTTTGTCCGTTAAACCGTCGATATGACCGACAAACCCCCAGAACCTTTTTCAGAAACGGCTTAAAAAATAAAAGGAATCTATGTAGTTCGAGCACTCTATGATTATTTTGTAAAATGTCGACGTTGACGTCGATTTTTTCTTTCACGTCGTTTATTAAAAAAAAAAAAATCGACGTGGAGTAATGGTTAACTTGCCCCCCGCTCCGCTCCCCCTTTTTTCCGAGGTTCGGGTGTTATTTAGTCCCCACATCACTTCTGCGTATTTAAATGTAATCAATCCCATCGGCGGTCATTTTGTGACGAAATTATAACTTTATTTATATTTTTTATGAAATTGTTATTGCCGTTTTACTATAAATATTATCATTATCATTATCATCATCATCATCATTATTATCATCATTATCATCATTATCATCATTATGACTTTGTAAATTTGTTTGTTTTGGTTTGCACATTCGAAAGTCAACAAAAAAAAAAAATATTAAAAAAAAAAAATTATTAATAAGTTTTTATTATTACTATTATCATTATTATTATATATATCAAATAAGAATTTTAATTGATTACAAAAAAAAATTTTTTGACGAAAGGATTACGTAAATGATGATGATGATGATGATGATACCTAGTCGCATAAAAATTAATTTATTATTATCATCATCGCCATAACCATCATAATCCAAGGGGAATGATAAAAATTATGTCAAAATAAAATTATTAATGTATTTATTTAAGATGAATGAAAATCATCGTCATCATCATCACGCATGATGAAATTAATATGTTTTATTATTATTATTATTTTATTTATTTATTTATTTTTTTTTTTTGTAATCAACAGTTTATTAATGTGTACATGTATATATATATATATATATATATATTTATTTATTTTTGTTGAAACACACGCACGAAAATACACGTGGAAAAGGGGGACCGTGATGGTACATTACGGTGGAGAGAGAGAGAGAGATAAAGAAATTCGCGAGTGACGTATTACACGCATGAAAATCCAGCAGACGAAAAACTTTTTTTTGTCGTATTTTTCAAATTATTATAATTAAGTGTTGCCTGGAAAAAATCCGTGACGTGACGTGAAAATTTCCCGAATCTTGCCGTTGAATTAAAACCGAATCGAATACTTGCCCCTCGTCATCATTTTAAATAACGGTCATTTTCCGCGCGAGTGTTTTTAATCGAAATTTTCCAGGAGCGTCCCGTTTATTATTTTCCGTAAGAAAAATCGATGGTGGCGTTACAGAAGAAATTTACCCGAACTTCCGATTGCATTATTATTATTATTAATATTATTATTATTATTATTATTATTGTTATCAACGACGTTAATTGATAACCTGTGTTATTATTATTTCGATGTAAATCTTATTCCATTAACGCCCATAGCTTTTTTATTTATTTATTTAATTCGCGATTTTGATTTAGATTTTTCGCGCCAAAACGAGCCGGGAAGGGGCGAGGAGAGGGGGAATTTTTTTATTTTTAAATTTTTAATCCGCCATTTTTGTGCCATTTATTTACTTATACACTTTTTTTTTAATAGAAAAATAAATATTAGAAAAAGAAAAAAAATTTACACACGGTATCTCTCTCCCTCTCCCTCTCTCTATCTCTCTCTCTCTCTCTCCGTTTTTTTTTTCCAAAATAATAATGATAATAGTATCAGTAAAAAAAAAAATTCATCGTGCGTGCGTTTGTTTTTTTTTTTTTTTTTTTGGTTAATTTATTTATTATTATTATTATTATTATTATCATCATCATCATCGCAATTGTTATTCTCTTCATTATTATTATTATTATTATCATTATCGACATGATATTTCGTGACGTATATAAAATAAATAAATTAATTTCATTTCTTTTTATGTATTTATGTACATATATATATTGTTATTATTTGTGTGAATTTAAGTGAAAATACATTAAAACGAATTCATTCATTCGAGATACCAACACAAAGACAAACAACAAACAGACAGACAAACGGGAAATTTTTATTTCGTTTGTTTGTTTTAAAAATGTTTTATTTGGTTGTTGAAAATGACAAAAAAAAAAAAAGAAAAGAAAAATTTTGCTCTTATTATTATTATTATTATTATTATTATTATTATTATTATTATTTACATAATTAAATATTCATTAAAGGTTTGTTTGTTTGTCTGTTTGTTTGTGTCTGTTGTTTTTTATTTAGTTTGTTTCTTTATATCTGAGTGAGTATCTCGATATGTTAATGAAACACGACGACAAATGTTTTGAATTTTTTTTCTTTTTTTATATATATATATAATTATTATTATTATCGCTATTATTAATTATTATTATTATTATTAATCATCACGCTGTTTGTTACCTTAATTTTTTTTTTCTTAACTTTATGATGATGATGATGATGATGATGATGGTGATGGTGATGAACACTCTCGTTCTTTACAAAAAAAAAATTTTTTTTTTGTCTTTTTTATTAATTATTATTATTATTGTTGATGTTGTTATTGTTGTTGTTGTTGTTCTTGTTACTCCTCCTCCTCCTTCTCCCCCCCCCTACTGTTTGTTTTTTTTAACCCTCTTTCTTTTTTATTTATTTATTTAATAATTAATGTGCGAATGTTTCGAATGTTATTATTAATAAGTAAAAATACTCTTACCATTATTATTATTATTATCATTATTATTACTATTTATTTTTAATTTTTTATCACTTAAATTTAAATGATGATGATGATGATGTTGATGATAATAATAATAATCGTTATCGTTATCTTCGTCGTCGTCGTCATCATCACCATCAACATCACCATCATCATCGTCATCGTCATCATGGTTATTTTCATTATTATTATTATTATTAATACTATTACTATTATTAAATAAAAAACTTATTGATATATATATATATATATATATATATATATATATATACATAAATAAATAAATAAAAATTATTAATTAATATTTAAAAAAAAAATAAATAAAAAATAAATAAAATTTTATTAATAAATAACTTTTTTCTCTTCTTGTGAATAAATAAAAAAATTAAAATTTTTCAAATTTATTTATTTGTCTCATGTAATTTATTATTATTATTATTATTATTTATACATAAATTTTTTTTTATGTATATGAAATTATAATTTTGTGAAATTCGGTTGATCGGTGTGAAATTAAATAAACGAATAATAATTAAAAATTATTTAAAAATAAAAATAAAAAAAAAAACTATTTATCATTATTATTATTATTATTAATGTAAAAAAAAATATATTTATTATTATTATTATTGAAAATAAATTAATAAATAAAATGATAACGCGAGTGGTGATTTAGTGGATTATAATTTGTTTGTTATTATCATTATCATGAGTCATAATTTGTTTGTTTTTATACCTTATGTATGTGATTGATTTAATGATATATTTAAAAATATCGATCGGTGAATGAATGAATGAGAGAATGATTGATTGAATGATTCCTAACTTATTGATTAATAGAAACAAAAAAATAAAAAGTTTCGATTTGCGCATATTACATTTCTTTATATATATATTAATTAATTAATTAATAAATAAATAATTTAAATTTTATTCGTATTTTCTTTTTTTTGTATTTAAATTTACTTTCTTTAATACCCTACTCTCCTTTATTTTTTTCCTTTAATTATTCTTAATTTATTTATAAATAATAATATTAATAATTAATTAATTAATTATTAAATAAATTTATTTTATTTATTAAATAAATTCAAACAATGGATTCCCGCTTAAAATAAAATGTGTGTCAGGTAAAATATACAAGGTCGTCCTACTTAGCGTAAACAGTAAACAAGGTCGACCTTGATTGAAAAATCGTGACCATGAAAAATTTCACAAAATTGAAATGTAAAACCAATGGCCTTGGATTCAAGGTCGACCTACTTTAGAATAAATCGTAAACGTTGGATTTTCGCGCTCAAGGTCTTTTTTAACTTAATTTTTAATCGAACATTTTTTTCCTATGTATCCGTAAAACATAAGATCCAAGGAGGTTTTTTAATAAAAAATAAAATGGAATAGTGGATTTTCGCTTAAAATTAGGAGTACAAAATAAAAAACAAATAATTAATATAAAAAAAAATAATTATATTACAATAAATTAGATTAAATTACAAAACTTTTGATACATACATAATTTCTTATAACTAAATCACTAAATAAAATTATTAAAAAATTTATTTATAGATGACATGATGTAACGCATGTCACTTATACAATTTTAATTATTATTATTATG